GAGAAAAATCAAATTCAAACCAAAATAAAATGTTGAACCAAACCAGAACCATTATAATGAGTCTCAAAATTCGGTACATACAAAATAATCCACATCAATCGCCGTCGGAAATCCGTTATTATTAACACTTTGTCATCCTCGTAGAAGTACTAGTTAGCGACATACTAGCATTTGTGAAAACAGATAGTAGCCATAATAGTAAACATTGCACATACACACACAAAAAGGAGACATAATAGTAAACAAATTAACTCGTGCATGCGTTGAAATGTTGAAATCCATACGTATGAATCAATGGTATACTTAAACATTAATTTCCCGTCATGATGGGTGTGTTGATTATGTTTGCACCTATCTATATTTTTTCCGAAAAGTTAAATTATGTGAGTGAAAGATAAAATTACAAACAATTATAGGAGCACGCAGTGTAATTAAGCCCTACCTACAATTATCCTTAATTATTCGAATATGGAACTTAGATCGCACGTCAAATTGTCGTTCGCTAAAGTTTTATTCTTTTACTTTATGGTCTTCTCTTTGATGAGGTTTCTTTTTCCCGTGTTATCAAAAAATTGTCGATCAGTTGTTAATCGTTTGATTAAAGTATATACTAAATTATTGCTGGAATTTTCTTTGTAGTTTTTGTATAGTTGATGAAACTTTGGATCCTTTTAAATCAATCGCTTAATAAGAAAATAGTTAATCCACTAAACCCATATATTAAAGAATGAAACATAATTATTTTTGAGAAGAGATCTAAAATGTTGTTGAATCTGTTAAAAGGAAATAATTTTAGAAGATCCAAGAAACCACGTTGCAGGATTAGCTGTTAAAGATATGGAATCTTCAAATAAAATGATTCTTGAAAGAATGAATTGGGCCCATAATAAATATGGTAGAATTAGTAATGGGCCGATAACGAGAAGCCCATTTAAATTTTAATCTGAAACAGTAGCATTCGTCCCACATCGGTTAGGAGAAGAGAAGAAGCTGAGGTTAAATAGCGATAGAGTCGGCCAAGTGAGTGTCTCTTCGGGGACATCCGATAAAATTGGAACGATACAGAGAAGATTAGCATGGCCCCTGCGCAAGGATGACACGCACAAATCGAGAAAGGGTCCAGATTTTTTTTGCAAAATTTTCCAAATCGATTTCTTCTTCTGAGTTTCGTGTTTAAGGTTTTCTGGAACCGTATCTGAGATTCTCAAAACTTCTGTAACCCTAGCTATTCCAGAAAAGCTCGACTAACTTTGGATGTTCCAGATATTATACATTCGTTTATTACTCTAATATCGATGGAATATTTCATATTTGCTTAAGCAGTCTAATTTGTTCGTTTTGAACAGACCCGATGATCGGAAATCTTGTTTTCATGTTCGTTCTCCGTTATTCAATTTACCGGAATCGTATTGAAGTTGAACTAGAACCCGGTTCGGTTATTGATATTGC